AAGTGAGTTGTCATGTGAGCATGTGATCACATAGAAATTCATTATCAAATACCGGTAATAAATTAGTGCAGTATGCATTAAACAATTTAAGAGAAATTAATATTTACAAAGGCAAATAAAAAATCAATAAGTGCTTTTTTTTTAAAAGCCAACCTCATTAAAGTAACAATACCTACCCTAATTATAACCATGATATCGCTCTTGTTTGTTTTGGTACTCATCATTTGAGCTGGGTCATTTAATAGCAAATGCTATTAATTAACACACATATTAGAATAACCTTGTAATAGATTTTTTTTTGCTTGGTAACTTTACTTTAAAAATAATTTAAGATGTATAAGTTATATAGGCAATTGATTTACCAATCTAATAACTTAGACATACTTATAAAATTCAAATTGTCTATAGTGATTAGGAAAGTTCAAACATCTGTTTTTAAAACAGCTCTTGCTTTTTAAAAATATGCATAAGAAGTACTTCTTACAATTTAAATAACTAACTTCGAAAAATTGGCCTTGCAATTTTGATACTGAACTATTTTTTGTGCTCTAACAAAAAAACCCTCTTTATGTAATTATGTTATATTTTATTTTCAAACTCATAACATAATCCTCACAATAAAATTTAAAGGAAACATTTGTAATTTGCATGATTTAAGCATTCAATTGTATGTTTTTTGATATGAAATGCTTGATATAAACTCTAGTTACATATATCATATTATTTATTTGAACAAGTTTATATATTGTGACCCCTTATATTACAAATCCCATATTTATACTTAGTGTTAGTTTCTTCTGAATTATTTTCTTCTGAATTGTCTTCTAGATTATTTCTTCTGAATTGTCTTCTGAATTATAGAATTTAGCTAAACTTGGACAAGTACATGCATTATGACCTTTTGAGTTACAAATTTTACATTTTCTTACTCCTTTTCTTTTTTTATATTACTAGTTTCTATATTATACAAAAATTAATAAATTCCAATAAATTATACAATTCAAATAACAACTCTAAAGAAATATATCTAAATTAAATTATAATCGCTATTAGTATTATCGTCATTATTTGATTGATCATATTCACTTTGAGAAATTTGCTTCTTTTTATTTTTACTCTTTGATATATTCGTACTATCATTGAATCCTTTAATTCTTTTGGAATTTTGACCTTTTGTTCTAATACTTATAAGATTATTTATAGTACAAGCAAATTCTTCAGAATCATTA